TGGGGTTTTTTATATACCTGCGATTCAGCACGATAGTTTCCAGGAGGGGGCACGTAGAGGTTTTTTTTTAATGGGTGGAAATGGAATGGCAACTCCGCCTGCGCTATTGGTATTCGCTGGCGGGGCACCAGTGATTCATAATAGGTGAAGATGAAGGCAGGTCAGTTAGCACATTCATTGATCAAGTGAAGAATTAAAAAAGGATTATCCACAATGGTTTCCAGGAGGAACCGCGTGGAGGTCAACCTGATAGGGTGTGTTGTTAGCAATGGGTTGTTAGAACCCATTACTAACAATCCCTTTTCCCCCACCACGTGGAAGTTGACCTGATAGGATATATTGCTAGCAATGGGACTGATAGACCGCATTACTAACAATCCCTTCCCTCCCACCCCGATCGGTTGGGTTAGCAAGGAAATCGGTTGTTTTTTCTTTAATGGATGATAATGAAATGGTAACCCTCTTTGCGCTAATGGTATACGCTGGTGGGGAACCAATAAGGGATGATAGATGAGAATGAAAAGGCAGGTCAGATAGCCATTGTGATAAATATACTAATCGGTTAGGAAGGAAATCGGTTGGGTTAGGAAAAAAATATACGAGGGATTAGGCCCCCGAGTATTTTTCTTCTCACCTTATAAGCCGTCTCAACGCATAATATGAATACAATACACATGACAGACACAGCTAAGCTGTTCCATGATTATGACTAGCAATCGGTTGAAAGTTGAAATTGCGTTTACGATGTATTAATATCATGACTGTCCCGTGGGGACCACTTTAGTTGAAAGTCTGACAATTATGTGGATTAAATGTTTAAATTTATATTAAAGTATATATTATAGAAACATGTTGTCAGGTTTCGTTATAAAATTACTAATTTTTTTCATAAGTCCCGTTAACTGTCTACTTCTGAAAATAATTCTCCGCCTTGAAGGGTTTGTCAGTAGTTATCACGCTTAGTATGCGGATTGGCAATCGCAGTTAGGCTTTTGGTGATGTTTTAAGAGGGATGCTGCTGCCCATTTCTCGATCGTTTAGTTTCCTAAGTCGCTCTTTACGACACCCACGGGAAAGAAAGGGGTGGCCCATTCAATGCCGGGTCCACACGGCAACTTACTTATCCATTATTTATACTAATTGCTTTTCGAAAAGTAATTTGATGATTAACATGGAATTATGGGTGTGTATTGTATCGAGTGCGTAAATAATTATCAAAACTGACTTAAAATTAATAAATGTATGGCATAAGATAGATATAATGACAGGTGAACTGAGAGAAACTTTGAACCGACTTCAAAAAGAAGGAAGATAGACTATATTCTTTTTTATGTGTTACTGCATAACTCCATCAGTTATAAGCTACTATAAATAAGATTGTGTTCCACAAAAAAAAAAAATTAAAAGTGCCAAAACTTGTTATTTTAATTTAAAAACTACTAAGCCGATTTTGATAAAATTTTTATGGAACCAATCTGTAAGAATGTCCTTTTAGATAAAAAAAAAATCCAAATCGATTTAGAACTAATGGAATTAGAAGAATTATTAGATTTAGTAACAAAAAAATATAAAAATAGAAAAATTATTCTTTGTGGGGACTGGAACATTGACACCTTAAAAAAAAATAAAACATCTAACGAATTAATAAGTGTACTAAAAAGTTATAATTTTGAAATACATATAAAATATCCAACAAGACAACAATCCTGTATTGACCAAATCGCAAGCAACATAAAAAATGTGAATGCTAAGCTTTACTACTTAGGGTTATCTGATCACGAAACTGCACAAACTATCACACTAAAAATAAATAAAAGAAAAAGTAGCACGTCCTGGACAGAATATCGTGGGGATTATAGTAAACTGAATATTAATAAATTTTGTGAAAGCATGAGGCAATTGAGCTTCAGTGAATTGTACGAGCAAGTTACTGTGAATAAAGCATTCGATGCATTTCATAATCTGCTATTGTTATTTTATAATTTGTGCTTTCCGATAATTAAAATTAAATTAAAATCTAATAATCAGAAATCTATATGGTTATCTAAAGGAATAAAAAAGAGTTGTCTCAAAAAGAGAATATACTATTTAAAATTTAAACATGCTAATCACAATAAAAAAGTAAATGCGAAAATTTATAAGACCTATAGTAAAATTTTACAAAAATGTATTAATACTTCACAACAAATACAATGCAACAAATATATAGAAAAAAGCAAAAATAAAGGAAAAGCTATATGGAAATTAATTAATAATAACATTAATAATGAAGCTGAAAATAGACAAATTGATATGATTAAAATAGATAATATAATACATAATGATCCAAATATAATATGCAATCTATTCAATGATTATTTCGTAAATTCAATAAATAAAAAATCGACATTAAAATCTAATTATACCCATAATATCAGTATGAATGATAATGCCAAAACAATATTTTTGACACCTAGTAGCGATATAGAAGTTATGGATATTATAAAGACATTAAAAAATACAAACTCAGTAGGTTATGATTCAATTAGCACAAAAATTTTAAAAACATGCTCTATTCACTTGTGTAAACCATTATCCTACATTATTAATATGTCGTTTGAACAAGGCTGTTTTCCAGATAGTCTAAAAATGTCTATAATAAAGCCATTACATAAAAAAGAGGATGTAAGTGATATGAGTAATTATAGGCCTATTGCACTTATCCCAGTAATTTCTAAAATATTTGAGAGAGCTATGTTAAAAAGGCTCAATGACTTTATGACTAAAAATAATATCTTAAAACAAGAACAATATGGATTTAGGAAAAATAGCTCAACATCTTTGGCTTGTTTCGATTTAATAAAATCTGTAACGGAGGGATTGAATAATAGGGAGCACGTAGCTGCAATATTTTTGGATATGACTAAAGCTTTTGACTGTTTAGATCATAATATAGCATTAAACAAATTATATAAATACGGAATAAGAGGAAATGCACATAGTTGGCTAAAAAGCTATTTACAAGATCGCAAACAATGTACCGAGACGTTTAAAATTATTAATGGCTATAAAAAAATCTATAGATCTATCCCAAAATTAAATAAAGTAGGAATTCCTCAAGGAAGCATTCTTGGACCATATATTTTTTTGACTTATATAAATGATTTGCCTAATATAATCACACATAAATGTATACTATATGCTGACGATACAACTATATTAATAAAATGTAAAAATAAAGATGACTTAGAAACACAAATTAATGACACATTACAAAATGTTATAAAATGGTTAACAGAAAATAATTTAAAAGTTAATTTAAATAAAACCAAAATAATACATTTTGGCACACATCATTCAAAATCTGTAAAAATAAATATAAATTACCAAAATCAATCAGTGGAATTAGTGGATAGTACCAGATTCTTAGGCATAATTATAGATAGAAATTGTAACTGGAAGGCCCATATAGAGGCCTTGTGTAACAATCTCCATAGATTCGTGCATGCGATACGAAAATTAAGATTGTCAGTATCAGAACAGGCTGCACTGAGTGCTTATCATGAATACGTATCCTCCATACTTTCATATGGATTACTAATATGGGGAAACTCTGCAGAAATTTCCAGAGCATTTGTTGTGCAAAAGAGGTGTGTTAAAGCTATATGTGGTGCAAAAATTAGAGAAAGTTGTCGCCCTCTTTTTAAGAAATTAAATATTCTTCCACTGCCATGTATGTACATTAGAGATTTGTGTATATTTGTAAGGGAACATGCTGGCTTTTTCAAAAGAATATCGGACTCGAGAACACGTACAACTAGACCAAACGACAAATTATATGTACCAAAGTGCAGGTTAGATTTACATAAAAGAAACGCATACTGTATGGCTATTAAAGTTTACAACCATCTACCAAATAACATTAGAGAAGTAACAGCTCATACAGTGTTTAAACGTAAACTTAAAAATTGGCTGTTATGTAACGGGTTTTATACCATTAATGAATATTTCGCTAAAAAAACAAATGCACTTCACAACCTACACTAGAGATACAGTTGTTAAAATATTTTATTAATTTGGACAACTATTGTATAGGCTTTTATTTTTTCTGTTTACTGTAATAAATAATAATAATTTATTGTATGACTAAGGAAAGGAAATATAATGTAGAATATATATATAAATTTATTATATTGTTAAAAATTTGCACGCCGACATAGAGGCAGAATGTACACGGGAAATATAAACCTCTATCATCTAAAATTACCTGCATTCTAGCAAAATAAATTCATTTCATTTCATTTCATTTCATTTCATTTCAGGTAACAAACAAAAAACATACAACCAAATTGAAAACCTCCTCTTTTTTGAAATTGGTTGAAAATAAAAACTTTTATCGTGGTATGTTTTTATTTTAATTTATACATCCAATAAAAATTGTTTTATGCTCATATACTCGGTATGTTGAGAATCGCTGATTGAGATGCAACGATGTATGGTAATAGGGTCTAGAAATTAAATATCGATTGACCGGGCGGCAGTCAGCTAGCCGCGTGATTAGTCCGCAGTGCTGCACTATAGCACTGCACCCCAGTCAAGCGCGCTCACGCTTTACTAAAAGCTTTTACATCATTCGCTTTTCACCAAATACGCTTTCAGTCGTTTACACGAATCACTGCATCGCTCCCTTGATACTCTCTGAGCACTTTATTAATTAGGTCCCTACAGACTGGTCTTGTTATTACCTGTACGACTTGTATACATCCATCCTGTGAACCAAACAGGTTTAGATTATTATTTCAGATACCATATCGATGCAGTACTTGTCGTCTGTGTAATGTATAATGAATGTCTTGTATTAATTCGTTCGGAATTTTATCATACGACATAAATTTACTACGCCTCGTTAATTACTCATATCGATGAAAAAATTTTTGATGTATCATGTCCATCTAGATTATATTGATGTTTTATGAAATTCTTAATTATTGTTAATCATGTTTAATGTTTTATTTTTGCAGTCCCAGTGGTACAGCGCTAAGCACTCTACCGCAGCTCAGGGACTACCTCCAGACGACAGGCACTTGCAAATGTGGACTACCCTGTCCCTTGAGACCGGAGACTGCTTTTAGCTTCGATCATAAGGTAACATTTTAATCAGTATAATATATATAGTCACTCTTTTACTTTTCATATCTAAATTATTATTTGAATTATATTAGCGTTAAAATAGCCTTCAAGGACTGGCAATATTTGAATTGCTGACTCCTCTGTTATAGAAGTATTTTAATATTTTTCCCAAAGAAATACGAGCCAGAAAACGACAAATAATTTGGTCTACTCATATTGATTTAATAGCAGGACGCATTATGTTAGTACGGGAAACTAAAATTTGTTGTTTTCCGACTCATATTTTCATTCTTCTTCATATAGTTTTCTAATTAGGTTTACAGGTATTATTAATCTCTTAAAAAATCTTTAACCGTTTTCGATTTCAACCCGTGTACTTGTATGTTGATGAATTATTTAAAATGCTGTATGTATTAGGTAGTTATGCGCCGAATATATCTCACGAGTTCTGAAGGCATTTATTTTGTCTATCTCATGTTTGCTCTTTCTTTAAAGAATGACCGATGGAAAGATGAGTTATTCGATTTTACTGTACTGGACAGTAATCGAGGAAACTGGTTGCAGGCCATCGTTATAAACTTTTTTACTTCTCGTTGACTGCTAACTGACGGCCACTATATACAAACTGCCATGCGTTTCATTTATATACTCTTGTGAAATATCTTTAGACGAATACATTGCTATCATGTGTAATGGTTAAATAGCAGGTATGTTTTTACGACTGAAATAAAATTACTTCAGAGATGTAAGAAAAAGGATCAGAGAATAACTGTGATAAGCCTTCTACTATAATTCCTACTAATATTATAAGTATGAAAGTTATTCAAAATGTATGTTTGTTACTTAATTATGCTAAAATATCAGAATGAATTTTTATTTAATTTTGATACACTCATAGACTGTACCGTTAATTTAATTTTTCATTCTGTTTTATGAGCGTAAAGCTGCGGTATACACCTAGGCAACTGTAACTTACTTCCTGAGATGTACAAAAAAAGCAATTTATACATAATAAACACAGTTGCAGACTTTTTTTTTAAATCTGATAGTATTTATAGGTTGATATTTATAAACATGTGCCCCTCTGTATCAATCGGAACAGCGACCCTTTATTTGGTAAGCGATTATATAGTACAGTAAACCAGCCATTCGCAAACATTTTTTTCATAGCCGCTTTACACATATAGAAGTTTAGAACTGTGTACTAGGACCACAAAACAAATCGCACCAAACTTTATCTTATTAAGGTGTAAATGGAAATTCTATTACAAATTAATTCTTTATTTTATGCAATACCTTCAAATACTTTTGCCTTGTGATTGTTACACGCTAGAATATGTTGATAGGCATATGTATATGTTATATAATTTGTTTGAGTAGTACTATAAATAATAATAATGTGGATACAAATGATGCTATAAATCAGCCTATGCAATTCAAGCGATGCCAGCGTTCACTTATCAATTTTAAAAGAACTATCCAGTGAAGCTAAGCCATTTAGAAAAGCTTAGCGAGTCGTTCGCGTTTATCGGGCCGCTGTTTGAGTATGTGACAGTAAACCGAATAATCTAATCTCGTCATCACACCGTTTCAAAAGTCAAACATTTTATTACTAACGTATATCTAAATTTTTCACAATTATTCTAAAATCTATGCAAGCATTTATACACATATGTATATTGTAGAGTTACCGAGTGAAGGGCCGTGAGGTTGCAAAGAAGGCGAGTCCAAGTCGGAACATTATTTAATTGGGCCAATTACCATGTCAGTGTCGCCTTGACATATCGCGTGGACGATATACGATTCAATATGAATAACATAGTATTAGTCTCAACATCACTTATTAACTTGTTTAGTATAATCGCACGTTATTTTCTCCTTTATTCTCCTTACATTGTTTGAGCTATATATAATACTAGCTGTTAATGAAAGCAGTAACTGTCTCTTGTATTATGAATTGACATAGTATGGGCATCACAAAGTACGCATCTGATACCCGGCTCTTCATCCATTGCCAAACCTGGTCAGATTTTGTGTTTTCCCGTAAGGATTAAAATATTTTACAGTAAAGTATTCTGTAATATATCCCCCACGGATATAGTTGTGCCTTAAATCCAGGATCATTATAATAATATGATAATCATTTTTAAAATTTCCAAAGTCGATATTAGTTTCTCAGATATTTGTCTAAAAAACTAAACGCTGTACATATGAATTTGCTTTTTAGTTGCATATATGAGACTAAATTTGAATTGTATTGTGATTTAAAAGTCTGAAATTCTGTATATATGATATTTATGTATTTAAGCTACAAATCAGAAACTTGATGGACTAACATTCGAAGATAAATTTGATACTATGACTATTATAGTTGAAATTAAAGTATAAGTATGTTTTAAATGTTTATGTAAAATAAGAACAATTTTAGTATGATAAATGTATAGAGGCGGTATACAAGTTCGATTCACACTTTCCGATTTTATTTAAACTATGAAATATAAACAAAACATCTGGTATTCATTTATGGGTTCTCATGTACTCATACGCAGATTATGTGTACTTTATTATTAATATACTGTCAACATTTGTTTGGGTATCGGCAATGACTGGTTTATTCTCAAATTCTTCATGTTAACATTTTTATGGCATTGGTTGAAGAAGTTTTTGAACATTGTCAATACAAGCCAGGAGCAAGCTTAGCGTCAACAGGCTTAAATAAATAAATAATAATTTATTTATTTAAGTTTTAATACATAATATTTGCACATATGTTGAATTTAATATCATGTCGTGATAAACAGTATACACAGTTCATGTACACAGTTTTATTCCTTTCGGCTGCGGAGTCTCTTAGTAAAATACTTCTACGTAAGATAAGCGTTGACATACGAGTAAAGGAGGATTTAAGAAGAGATATGTGTAGCAGTGATCTAAAGGGAGGGTGATGGGGTACGAAATGGCATATAAGGGCACGAAGAGAAGACATAGTACAGTGCTGGTTAATATACTACAACAAAACTACGAGATTAGATAATCGATTTAGTATTGATTAATTAGAATAAATCACTTGGATACGAGTACATTAGCACAATGCAGATCGTTTATCAATTTATATGAGAAATTAATTAGAATTAGATTTAATGGTGATTTTGATAGATTAATATGATGGTGAAGTTTATATAATATATTATATTTCATATTATTTAAATAAACGATATATATTAAATAAATAAGAACTTAATTCAAGTCTTTGTAATAAATCGAATATACTGATATTGCATATGCATAGAATCAAAGTGATAATTGAATCAGGAAATTGGTATAACTAGATACATAAATTACTATCATAGAATTTAAATATTGTTTCCCTGGGATTAACTTGAAGTATTAAAATATTTACTCTGTGAAACCTATGTAGGTATATTTATTACTGACTGTAAAGTATTCTTTCATTTACAATGTACATTTTACTATTCGCACCATATAATTCGACATAATGGCTGCTTGTTTTATTTCTGTACGTTTATACTAAGTAACTAATGCTAAGAGACAGGAACCAGGTTAGCATGTTCTTATACGTATCTATATGACTATATCTATCTCTAATGGGTATTAAGACAGGTATACGATTATTATAAATAAATATCAAAGATAACGTGTTACCATTCCTAAGGTTTAAGTGTTATGTATTTATGTATATCTTTTTTTAATAAGTCAAAATAGAATGGTAGTCCTGCGTCATTGGTATATGCTGGCCAGTGAGTAATGATATATGAGGATGATAGTAGGTCAGTTAGTCAATTGTGATGAGTTCAAGAATCAAACACGATGGTTTTGTCTCTGTATTTTTTTTATGGTGAAAATGGAATGGCGACTCCGCCTGCGCTAACGGAATATGCTAGTGGGATGCCAGTATGGGCTAATAGATGAGAAAACAGGTCAGTTAGCTCATTATGACGAATTCATCAGGAATTAATCACGATAGTTTCTAGTGGGCACGGTGTGTAGGTTGACCTGGTTGGGTATATAATCCCTTCCCTCTTTGTATTTATTTTATAAGGTTTATCTAGAATATGGTTCCTATTGATAACTGATTTAAAATTTAAATACCAATTAGTACATTATTGCACTATTAAGTTACTGTTTATAAGATATACTTCAACAGTTGCATAAAGTAAAATTTATAATTTTTACAATTTATATTGAATTTCAATAGGAGTGAATTATTATTTCTTCTATTTTTTTTTGCGTGTATGTTAAAGGATATTTTCGCAAAAAATAAAAAAAAAAAACATCTTACAAGTAAACTCTAAATTTGAGTGTTTACCTTTATACATTACTAAGTCATTTTAAAATTAAATTGCATAGCGTTTTCACTACATACTACTCGTAACACTATGTAGCTCATCTACATAGCATATAGTATTTTCATGAATAGTACCATCAAATTACTAAAAAAATACTTGACACATCCAGGGTCAAGCTCTACCCATGCTCAACCGATATTAAGAAAACATGACAAACAGACATAAAAATTGCCATTAAATTCAACCGACTCACTTCTGACCATTATTATATTTATTCAGAACGCACTAGCATTACCTAATAAGTAATTATGCTATTATAGTTGCCCCACTTCGTACACAGCGGCATAACTGAAATTTTTCAATCACTGTACATTTTGGTATAATCTGATTTTCTTATGTTTAGCATTACACTATTTAATTTATTTTATGTATTGTTATTTTGTTAAAAAACATAAGATTAAGATTGTTTACTAATTATGCCGTGTATTAAAAACAGTTTATAATTTAATAAATAATAATTTGATGTATATAATTATAAACTCTTTCAAACATGCTTGGTTTTTGTTATGATAGATAAGGTTATTTACATATTCTATGTTTATAAAAGAAGATCAACGAATATCCTTAACTATTGGATCTAAACACATGACAAATTTGGTTAGAGTTGTTTTATTGATTTTATTGATTAAGGTGTTATAAATATTCCCA